CAAGCAAATAGTTTACCCACCTTTGACTCAGACAGTCGAGCATTTACCCACTTTGACCTACTTAAGCTAAACACCAAATTGCTGAGTTAAAAACCAAGGTTTTAAATCTACCAGCGCACCACCATTTCAGAAAGGGGCTAAAAAGTAAGAAACTTTAACCTTGTTTTCAGTAAAAGGGAAGATTTTGCATGCTTGGAAACTGTATATTTCCCCTGCCCCAATGTATCATGCCTTTCGTTAACATTGCCAAAGAAAGGATGCACACGGGCACACACGCAGGAAGCAGCCAGTTGCTGTCCACTGGTAGGTTAGATGAAAGCAACCTAAACGAACAGAATTTTAACAAAGCATCTCATACGCTTCATCCCCCAAAACTGATTAAGAAAAAAAGCAAGCAAAGAAGGGCAGGGTTGTGGGTAACTATTTCAGCATACACAGGATTTTAAACTTTATGCAGCTTTTGGCATTCAACTGATAGAATAAACCCCCTGGAAAGCCTGCTTCAGGAACCTAGACAGAAATCTTCCGAATTTTTTGCCTGTCTAAAGATCAGGCCCAGTTTAACTGGTTACTGAGCTTGAGAAAATAATCACAAGGCAGATTGCATGGCCATGTATATACACAGATACACAATATCTCCGTATGCACAGACGTGTATGGGTAATTAGTTTGTTTCTTTGGTAATCAAACAGAATATGGTGGCCCATTATAGCCGCCTTCTAGACTGACACACAAAGCAATTGAAGTAGGTATCCAGAAAGTCACAATGCTTAGCCCTTCACTACCTTCATGCTCATCTTTAGAGGCTAGAGCAGAAGACAAGAGAGTCAGCTTCATATTCTCCTTGCTTGTCAGCAGGCGTGCCACAATACAGAAGAATATCCAAGATACCTTGGGCCACAAGGAAGGACAGAGTGTGACTATTTCGTAGAATGGTCCTGCACACTATGACCAGGGCTACTGATCAGTCCTTCCTCCAGACAGGCGAGCTCTCCCCTGCAGTGAAAGGATCCAAAGCAAGCAGGTGGCATTTCCAGGCAGCAGCAGCCACTTTGTGAGATGAAATATTTCCTATAAACTAAGAGAAGTACCACAAAACCTTGAACCTGATCAGGCATCCTTTAGAATAAGAACATTTTGAAGCATAGGGGACATTTTTCTTAAACCTTTAAACCCATGCAAAATGAAAGCAGATCTTGCATGCAGTTTCTTGTTCTCCTGATACAGTCCAAGTACATCTATTTTAATACAAATATATAGTGAGAGAGATGAAAGGAAAAAGAGATTAATGACCAGGCTTCTCTGAAAGAATGCTCTAACATTTCTATTTGTACATGTCTTCAGAGCCTTCAAAACAGAAAGTACCCCTGACTTAAAAAATAATGTATTACTTCAGTAAATAAGATTAATACAAAGAAAACAATGTGATATTGGCTTACATTTTATCTACAGTAACATAAAATGGAGAAGCAAAAACAAATACACTGGATGTATGGCACAGATAGTAAGAAATCTCACAGTAAAAAAAACCAAAACTTAATAAATAAGTATTGCCTGTGATACAATCTTTTTGCAGTTATATTAATATCCACTTCTTAGCACAAAGAAAAATCTCTCATTTTATCACTGTTGGAAGAAAATGTCATCGGAAAGCTACACGATTTGATACTTGCCCCATTAGTCATTGTGTCTGCTAGCTGAACAGAACTTGGAAAAAGACACTGGAAATACCATGCTTGAAAACACAAACTTTTGCTCCCCACCAGACCAAACATCTGTATCTCAAAGTTAGTAAGCATTTACATACTTTATCATAGAGCCTGTATCAGGTCTCACTGCTGCTACTTTCTACAGCAAATGCTGCTACTTCTTTCTCACCGAGCTGACTAATCAAAGTCCCAAAGAACTGTGATCCCTAACTTGGCAATTCCAGCCTTGGCTATTGCCAACGTTGTTGCCCTGCAGCAGTAATGAACAAAGCCATTGCGGCTGCATGTGTACTTGTTATCCACAGAACTACTCAAGTTGCACTAACTGACCACCCTCCTCACTTTGGTGTTTTTGCAGAAGCAAAAGCCTTTTTGGTTTGATGGTTAAAAATAAAAGCAGTTTATAGAAAGAAATAATATGCTTTAGTATTTAAAATATCATATGTGATGGAATAATATGGAAGAAGAGAAGCTTTTGTGTTTACATAGACCTTCCTGCTATGAGAAACAAATGTAGCAAACTTGAAGCTAAATACCGATATAGATTTATTGCTTTGGTAATCAGTTTGACGGACAAGCATGCTTAGCACTTCAGTTAATGCTTTTGCCATATCATGGGCACAGGTGTAGGCAGCCAGTTAGTCCTGCAATATGCAACCAATATCATGAAGCGAAATAGAGAAGAAATAGCAAGAAACTCCATCTCAGACCCACAGAGTGCTGAGATACACAGACATCGCACACTTTCTTTCCAGGTTCAAAACTTGAATATCCTCACTGTTCTGCCCCAAAACTTTATAAACACTAAATTGACTTTGGAAAAGCACTGCACTAATACCAGATAAATCAATGCCCATGTTCATCACAGAAGCTGCCCATGACTGACTACCATTATGCAACATATCTACGTCCAGCAACTCACTCCAAATACACGAGGAGTTTGTGTTACCAAACAGCCTCAGATACTACTGCTTTTACTTCTAGAAGGAGTGTTAAGCACTTTCTTTACTGGAAAATGAAGTCTGAAGACTTTTATGTAGTACGGACACCCACTGAAGAAATAATGTCATTTTAGGCAGAATGACTTCAATATCATGAACAAACACAGCATGATATTAAAAGGAGGTTTTTGCTGGTCACATGCCACCGACGGTCACATCACACGCATAATAAAACCTATGCAGAATGTCATTAAATAAATGCTGTCTCTGTGGAAAGATCACAATTTACAAGGAACATCCCAGCCTTCCAACAACCCCCCAAATCGCAGCAGACTGTACCAGAGTAAGAAATACAAAACCTGACTGTTCCTTTCTCCAACCCTCCTGATGACTCCCTCCTCCTCCTTTCCCCACCAAGCCGAGCCACAGAAACCCAGGGATTGGGCAGAGGTGCACTGCCAGGCTGCAAGAGCACCATCCAACATTTCAAATGCTGTTATGTACAGGCGAGATAAAAAAAACCCCAAACAAACCCACTGCTCTCTATACTAGGACAAGCTAAAAATCCAGGGTGGGGTTTAGGTGGCTAAAATACACATCTAGAGCCATTTGGGCATCTTGCACATTGTAGCCATGGTTCAATCCCACACATATTTAGGGCAGCACATTCTCCGCAAAAGCACTTTCTCTCTGACCTTTCAGCTCTGGTCCCAGAGGAAAGTTTGCAAATCCGTAACTCTTCTGGACACTGGGACTGCAGGATTCAAGAGGGATGACCTGCTGGAGCAGGTCCAGAGGAGGGCCACAAAAACGATCTGAGGGCTGGAACCCCTCTCCTCTGAGGAAAGGCTGAGAGAGTTGGGGTTGTTGAGCCTGGAGAAGAGAAGGCTGCGGGGAGACCTTACTGCAACCTTTCAGTGCCTAAAGGAGCTTATAAGAAAAGTGGGGACAAATTTTTTAGCAGGGTCTGTTGTGACAGGACAAGGGGTAATGGTTTTAAACTAAGGGAGGGTAGATTTAGACTGGATATAAGGAAGAAATTTTTAACAATGAGGGTGGTGAAACACTGGAACAGGTGGTCCAGAGAGGCAGTAGATGTCCCATCCCTGGAAACATTCAAGGTCAGGTTGGACAGGGCTCTGAGAAACCTGATCCAGGGGTAGATGTCTCTGCCCACTGCAGGGCAGTTGATTTAGATGACCTTTAATGGTCCTTTCCAACCCAAACCATTCTACAATGGTACACTGCAATTTTCATCACAACCTACTACCAACAAATTCCAGAATACCTCAGGGAAAAACAATTATCCTTCTTTGCTTTGCACAGGTTTACAAGCTTTGCACGTGTTCTGCAGCTAACATCCGTCTCTGTTCTGCATCTTGCAGCCTTCCTTTCTTTTAAGATTTTCCAGGTGATTGATGTAATCTATTTAAAACTGGAACAATTGTTCCTAATCTTTTATAAGCTTGCTTGTGTTACAAAGGTGAAGAAAGATACCCGAGCCAGAAACCTGGTCTGCTCTTTTTTTTTTTTTAAGACATTGGTGTACAAATTTATGCTTACTGTCTTAGAGTGAAGAATAAATATTGGTCTGCCAAATGGAGTGCATGTATCTTTAATTCCAATGCCTGCACACCCTTGACTAGTTTATTATGATTGAACGAAACAGTTACATTTAGAGATTTCTTCTTCATCAATTATATATCATACACTTCATATTTGTTTGCCTTTTCAGTCCTTTCAGTCTGGAATTATGTTCTGCCAGCTTGATGCTCCCCAAGGATTTGCGCACATGGTTTCCCTGGGCTGAGCAGGGTCTAACACGCTCCCTGCAAACCAGTGAGCACATACGATTTTCCTGGGTAGCAAACAAAGCACTCTGCAGACATCAGGAAGGTTTCCAGAAAGCAAAATAAAGATATATCTGGTGAACTGGTGGGGATTTTTATTTTGCCCTTTTTTTTTTAAACTCTGTACTCTGTTTCATTCATCTTTAACAATATTGATCAGGAAAATTAAAAGCATTTTTAACTTTCAATGCATTCCTCGGACACAGCTGAATGTAAGGAAGCATGCACTAAATAGAGCAAGCATGTACTTAGATTAGATTCATGAAAGATCCATTTCTAAGCAGATTACAGACAAATCAGTATTGTTCTGTGTCTTAAAATTGATGCTCACCTGTAGTTCAGCCTGGCCTGGCCCATCACATGTTTGGACTGCCAGGACTGCTATGGTTAATACCAACATCACGTCTAAGTCTAAATCTCTGTCTCTTCTGGGAATAGCCCCCCAAAAAATGTCTTTCATGCTGTGAAAAGTCATATTGTCTTGTAAAAACTATACACAGACAGTACACGAAGCAGAGTTTGCAGGTGCAAAGGTGCTTCCTGATGGAGTAAACATTTCCAAAGAAGCTCGGAGTGCCATATCTCGAGCAGCAAGTGTGTTTGTGCTCTATGCAACATCATGTGCAAATAACTTTGCCATGAAGGGGAAGAGGAAAACACTGAATGCTAGCAATGTTCTTTCTGCCATGGAGGAAATGGAGAGATTTTTCTGTCCATGAGAATTATTCTCAAGTACAGCATACAGACTATCTTTTATTTTAGTAATATTTCTACAAGCTGGGTAGCTTGCTTTTTTGGTGATGTCTGTCCTGAGTCATGCTTTCAGTAATTATAGCTCATTCAGGTTATAACAAATGTACTCAGTTAATTCCCACTGCTTATTTCCTCCACCCACAACCCAGATTTGAATAACTGCTTTTCCAGAGTGAACATACTGTCAAATGACCTAAATCTCATTTACTCAGCAAATGCCTGGACTCACAGACAAACACACAAATAAAAAGAAAACTACAGAACTAATTCTGTGGTGTCTTCCTTAACCACGATAAGTTGCAGAGCATGAAGTGTGAACCACAGCACAAAGAATGGAGGGTTTACAGAGCAACTTTTCCATCAATAAAAACCCATTTTCTTTGTCAAAATTGAAGAATGGAATGGTGCCTCACTACTAAACTGAATACCAACAAATTAAGCACCGCTTCACAAAACATCCACAATACATAATTAACAACCATCAGTAATACAGACTTACTCATTTCATTTAAAATTAAATGAGAATGACTGAGATGAAAAGGCCTTGGAGAAAACTGGTCCTCAAAATTCTCTTTTTAATACCTCTTCCATTAGGCATTGGAGTCTAACTCACCTCAAAGGGAAAATGTTTACATTTTCAGTATTCTTACAAGGGAAATGAAATTTTTTTTCTTTTTTTAATGAGGATGGGTTATGAAATTGGAACACCACCACCATAGGTATAAAACCACACAGATTTAACAATCTGCTTTATTCGATGTGGACTGTATTTCTCTTCCTTAAGGAAAGATGCAACAGCAACAGTTCCCGCTGCATGGCTCCAACAGCAGATCTTCAGGAACCTGTGAACTTGCCGATTGCAGTGAGGTTACTGAAGTATGCTTTATCCACAGACAATCTCTCACTATTTAGGGTTCAACAAAGATGCTGGGCAGAGCACTTCAGTACATGCATCAGCGGCTTCCACGGTGCAAGAGTGCAGCCGAGGCTACATAAACCATCTCTGCTCAGGTCAACAAAAATAACTCAGTTCCTAAAAGCAACAGACTTTAAAGTTGTGGGATTTCTTATGCTGTGGAAATACACATAATGAGTGGGATGTAGATACTAGACCCAAAGGAATTATTTGTGGTGGTTAATCAGAATGAAACTCACTCTTTCTAAGGTTTTATGCTATGGGTCCAGCATGGGTTTGGAGACTGCACAGAAAATTCCTATGTAGCTTTGACTAAATCACTTAGGGGCAAATTACCAAAATTAGTTAGCTTTTTGATTACTAAGGGAAGAAAGAGACCTGAGAAAACTGGACCTATGGCTCTTCATGCCTCAGTTCCTCACCTGTGAAACAGTACTTAGGCTACATCTGTGCCAGTAAATCATGGACATTAGCAGGAGCTACCAACATCCTTCATGTTAAGCCTCCCATATCCACATTATACCTGTGGGGGGAGCTTTACACAGAGTAGCTCTAGTCTGGTCCTGTGTCCCTGTAACGCTTATTCTTGTTGAGTTTCACCCAAAATGAATCCAGTTCAGGTGCATTTGCATTATTGTCACCTGTGGTGTAAAGATGGAAGGCCTTGGGTTTAATTTTACTGCATGGCACTCTGGTCCTGGGACACTATGTCCAAATAATGCTCCAACCTGTGGTGAATTGTGTACCAATGTCCAAATCGAGGTGCACGGCATGCATGCATTGAGCACTAGGTGCAGCAGGACCTTGCACCTGAGGATGCAAAAACATATTCCCAGTTCCAGGCAAAGTACTAACCCAGAGCCATCCTAAGATCTCTGTCCTGATGAGGAAGTATACATACACTTAAAATATATATATATATATACACAACTTTATTCAGACCTTAATATGAAAAAGTATTGAACCAAAATATTTCAACACAGCAAATCCTGATGCTAAACACATCATGTTATTGGTATTACTGCTAGACTTGTATCTGCTGGTGTATGAGTTTCTCAGAACAAATGACCAAAACACTGTTTGAGGGGTGGATGATGTCATGACCTGCTCCTGCCGTCAGGAGGGAAGATTTCCTGATGAATTTTGAGGATGCAGTACCAGATCCCAGGAACTCAGGTTGGTTCAGCAAGGAACAAAATGCACAACTTTTATGGCCAGGATAGGTGATCATTGTCAGTATGTGCGTAAAGTATACAAAAATTACAGAGGTTTCGAGGTTTTACCTACATCATAAGGAAATTGCTTTCAGCCAAAAGTCTATACGAGCAAACTCATCTGCCTAAAATCAGGTAATTATATATATTTTTAGCCATTAAAATACAAAGGAGATTATTTTCAGACTGAAAACTCACTTTCAACCGCAGTCAACGGCAGCTGCAATAGCTCAGGTGCTCAGAAATATAATCCACTACTATATGCCTGAACAAGAATTTAAGAGTCTAACTTCAAACACCCCAAAATTGAAAATGTTCATCTAAAATTTGAGAGGACAGAAAAATAAAACCACACAGGTAAAGACGAAGACATATACATATAGAAAGCACTCACGTCCCGCCTAGAAGATTTACTTATCCAAGCAGTGTCCCTAACAGAAATATTGGTTGAACGGAGGTATTTTAAGGTCTCTCCCTATGAACTGTTCTGTGCCGATGCTTTACTTTACTAGGTACGGAAAAACTGAGTAATTGATAGCAGGCACTCAGCAAGGTGATAAGTTTATAAAATTAAAATCAGTAGTAGAATTTTCTACTGGGAACACTAGGTTGAACTGAGATAAAAGATAATATATTATAGCTTAAAAGCTAAAAAGAAAATATACTGAGATTTGAAGTTACGTGTAGCTGTACTACACTGATAGGCCTTCAAGAATTAGCATGAACCAAATACTGGCAGAAATGTTGCTCAGCACCCCGTGGGCTATTACTATAGGATTACTGGAGATACACAAGTTTACTTCTAATTCATATTTAATGGAAAATGCCAAAATAAACATGAGTAAACTTCTTATGTAAACAAAGATTTTGCACATGATTCTTCAGAGAGTCACTAACAACCGAGCCTCCTCAAGAACTGTTCCCAGCTTGAAACAACTAGTCTTACAAGGAGCAGCAACCAATAATCTCTGTTACTGTAAAAGCCATGAAGATGGACCAGAGTAATTCTAGCTTGGAAACTTTTAGTGTGGTGCATCACACACTACAGATTTATAAAGAGTCATATCTGTGACTCCTAAAATCCTCCACAATCATGGCTAAGAAGGAAAAGATAGGTCTATCACTGACATGCAGCACTGTTTTTTGAAAGTAATGATGGGAATAGATTTGTTCAGTGAAAAATCAGGATTTGCCCAAATCCTGATTTCATTAAATCATAAATTCTGGGGAACATATTCATATCTACTACATTTTCCATGAAAAGTTTTAAGTATCTTTAATAAAACTGGAACTTCCTGACTTGTTACAGATAAAGTAGTTATCAACATTGGAGAAAAAAAAAATCATATAATCAGTTTTTTTCATGAAGACCTTTTCTCTAAAAACATTTTGTGTTATTCTTTTTTTAATTTAAGTAATTTTAGTGCAGGTTTTGTAGAACATAGTTCTCACTTAGCATTACGTACTCTCTTGACTTCTAGAAGGATCTAAGTTTCTATGTTTCCGAGTTATTGGCATAAATGAAAGAAAAACCTTTAAATCCGAAGTGAAATATTAAACCAAAATTTTCCCATTTTTCATAATCCTGAAATATTTTTGAAAAATCTCTAAAAATTAAAAGATAGTGATTACAACATAGTTTCATTTACGTGCTCAATTTTCTGCTGCAGATGAAAATATCAGTCCAATAGTTTTTCTTATGTTTGGAGGACTGTTGTGAATTACATGTGCCTAATATGTACTCTTACATCTAATATTTCACCTGTTTGCTTTTAGAATTAAATACTTTCTGTTCATAATTTTCACAAGATTGCATTAGAAAGCCATTTGACAGTCCATCAATTTTTAATATATGACTCATTTGCAAAGTGTAACACTGAAAGACAAAAGAGAAGGGTACACATCCTAAACTACACTGTGGACCATAATCTAGAAAGCACATTGCAACCCTGTGCTCATGCAGTGCCATGCAATGGCGGGTGTGTGGCTCCCATAATTAGCTCTACTCTCTTCCTAAGCATGGGCCTCAACTATGCAAGTATCGTATGAAAAATGAAGGAAAATTTGTCAATGTGATAATATGATATTGGGGTTTTTTGTAACTCTACATTCATTTAAGTAAGAAACAAAGTAGACATATCAAGCTATCCATATGGGGAATTTAGTTTATAACTATCTCTCTACTGCATGTTCCTTGCATCTTCAATGAATGATTTTGGTTCCTCTCTCATTTGATGGGTATCATTTGTGCCAGGCTTATTGTTCCACCTCCACCTTTTTTCTAGCTGTAACGTAAATAAAATCTAAAGCAGCTTTGATTTAACATCTCATCATTCAGACATGGAGGCTTGCAGAAACCGATTAGCTGGCAGATCCTAAACGCTGTCCAGCTAACATTTACCAGGGATGTACCAGTACTTTTCGACATCTTCAGAAACGTACACATGCACAACCACCCTCAAAGCTGATACACTAGTAAATTACAGACATGCCAAGTTTCATCATTTAGGGTTTGACAGACATTTGTGCATCCTCGTGGGACTCTTTAATAACAATTAACATAGGTCCTGACTCAAATTGCACTAAAATAAACAGAAATATTTGACTGGGCTCATTTGTTCCCTGCTATGGTCCAGGAGAACAAACTTTAGTGTAAAAGCGAAACAAAAAGAACTTAAAAAAATGCTAGGGAAGCAAGAGGGTAAGAAGAGAGGGGATTACAAACAAAAGTAACTTGTGTAACACCCCTTCAGTTCATTATCCTTCTTAGATTGCGCTAAGTTTCCCAAGATAGCGTTCAATAGACATTTGGTACATCAGATGCTTTATGCTCTCC